GGAACATCGGTGAGACTGGCAGAAACCTCACAACAAGACTGACTGAACACAGACGGGCGACGAGGAAAGGTGATGTCAGCAATCACATTGCTGAACACCATCGACTTACCAACCACAACATTGACTGGGACTCTGCGCAATGCCTAACCTACAGCACTGACTATTTTCAACGACTGACTCTGGAAAGCTGGTTTACTAACTTAGAACAGACTCCCCTAAACAGATGTCAACAACTACCCGCTCCATACAAACGACTCATTCACGACATAAACATCACAAACGACCGAAAAAGAACGACCTAACTTTACCGACAGATCGAAACAGACCAATCACGACCGACTTACGTCACTTGAGTCTTACAGCCAATAACATCACGGCAAAACCAACCGATCATTTCACTCGAACTGGAATAGGAACATTCTACTGACAACAATCATTCACTTGACTCTGATGATGACTTCCGCACAGGTTGTCGAAACGTCAGTCACTACCACCGACAACAGTCCTTCTCAGGACTACACTCACCCGGACGATCAGACTACATCTTCATAAATTTTAATCGACGTCTTCCTCGGCATTACCGTAATTTCTTTGCGGCAATCCATGCTTCAGTCGTGATTTCAACATAGACTAAGAGGATCAACTCTTATACCAAAGCTCGTTTAAAGTGCTGTCTGTATCTAAGCTTTTGAAATATTTTGTTACTTTTGTTGTCCTTCCTACAGCTAAAGAAATGGCTCTGATTCTCGATGTCGAATGACCTTCGAATGAAATTCACTTCTGTTTTTTCGCTGTACTAGCCACACCACTAAGTGGTTCAATATTCGAACTGTTTTCTGTCAGATCTCGTCAACCATAAAATATAGATTTCTTCATGAAAAGTGCTGACGTAAGATGTTTACGCACGAGTTTGTTTTCACTAAACGAACGAGTAAGGCTTTGCAAACCAGGATAAGAAAGAAAACTTGATTTCTGTATTTCTGTTGTGACATTGTCAGGTTTAATGGTTTGTTTATATTATTCATTTCATACTTGCTTCGTGTAGTGATTGATTGCGTCGCAAAGCAAATGCTCGTCATTGCTGAAAAGGAATCAGGATACTGTTTTAGAAATCACATTTTTTGAAATGTGGAGAATGAGTACTGGTTACACTAAACTGAAATTGTAAATTGCCACCATAAAGAGTTTTAAAATCTGACATTTTGAGCGTTTGCTCTGACGAAGGGCTAACGCTCAAAACGTCACCATTTTAAACTTTTTAAGGTGGCCAATTTACCGTGAGTTTCAACCTAGTTAATAAAACCAAATTACCTTGTAACCCCCACCGACGCAGCACCACAGTTTCTTTAGAAATTTACCCCCTTTACTGATTACAGTTCTTGCCACTTGCTCCAGAAGCAACTACTACTAGATTGATCTTTAACATCTGTTTTTTGAAAGATCAGTATATCAGCAAATACGTTTGCTAGTCCTAGGCTTCACAGGACAGGTGAAAGGGCGAGTTTTCCCTAAATGTGTATATTCCATTGCTAGTTCATGTGTTATCGATCGACCCACTAACCCACTAAGACACAAAGATGAAAACCTGTTCAAAAGTGTCCAAGTTATGCTATGAGATGGCACAACCTTGACATGTTCTTTTTCAAATTCTATGGCTAATTGGTCTTACAAAGTAAAAGGTCTTCCCTTCACTATCAAACGCTTGGGTTTCGAAATTCCTCGTTTCTCCCTTCTTATCGACCAATCGTTTTAATGAACGAAGATGACGAAATGAAATAAGAAAAGACTGTTAGAGAACATTTTCATATTACGAAAGCTGTGAAATATCCTAGAAGTCATGTATTGCTGCTGTGTTGCCAGGAAAACAGCGGTCAAAAGTCTGCGCAAGCGTAAACTTTTTTGCGGCCCGACATCGTGCTTCAAGACCTGTCAGAGTCAAGCTGTTGTACAAACAGGATACCTGTACCCAAATGAACTTTGTGTTCTAAAAGTCCTAAGTTTTCGTTTTTCCTACTTTTGTTTCTCATTACAGACTTCTTTGAACTTTTCAGTGTTTTTTCGTAACTTTTGCGTAAAACCGGTATTTTCCTATGCCGTGTTTTTGCTGGACAACATCGTTATCTGGAATACCGCAAATGTAGATAATTGTGACACGACTTAGTGCTAGAGTTTGATGAACTTTAATTATAGCTACATTTAATTCTCATTGGTTCTTTGTAATATTTTGATATGAGCCTTCCTCATTACGACTAATACGGTGTTGGTGTAACAGCACTTTTAAACGAAGAGTGCCAAAAACACTTACTAACTTACTCTGAAGGCTGTGTTTGTGAAAGGATGAGGAATCTGCGCCTGTAGACCAGCGGAAGCTAAAGAGGTAGAGACTGACGGAGTATCAGGTACTAGATCGGTATTCACATTTCAGAGGGGCAAACTTCCCTTGAATTTTTCAGAAAAGGAAAAAATTCAAACTTGTAAGTTTACCAGAAGATATTTTCCACGGTGGAGATTTTTTTAGCATTTAACAAATTGAGAAGCCTTGACTGGACTCTGTTCTGTTGTAACGCACGCAGGAAGCGGCTAGAGCACGAAAGAAGCTTATCCATTAAAATCGGCGGAATAATCAATGAGTGCTGTTAGTCCAAATTTCACTGAAAGAAATGAAGTATTATTAATTCAACCTATTACATTGTCAAAATGAAATGAGTATCACTTTTACAATGTTGATGGAATTAAAGGGCATCCTTGGCCGGGGAGGAAGACGTTTTAAAATTTTGTCCGTAGTGTTTAAGATGATAACATTTAGGTAGTTCGATTCGCAAATGTTCATCTTTTGAAATTTAACGAAAAAAATTTGTGGTATTCATGCAAAGTGAAGTTAATGATTCCAAGGATAAACATATAGCAATGATAGGAATGAGTCAGGCACTTTTGTCTCTTATGATCGTGACTACCTGCCTTCACTGTATTCCCTAGATAACTTTTGCATGCAACGTTATGACAAAAAAAAAAGGTTTGCTTAAGGAATATAGGAGCTGTGTCATTGGAAATTGATACTTTCTTCTGTATATGGATATTGAGGCCTGTGCCATTAAATTAAATGTGTGTGGGGAAATTGTCTCCCAATTCATTTCCATGTTGTTCGTGTTATGCACCTGTTAAGGAGAGTTCTTTGAACATTAATGGTCTTTATTGTAATTTTTCAGGAAATGCACATCAGTTAGGTTTATTAATTCTTGCTTTAAAAGAAAATTCGATGTTTGCGAGAGTTCTATTAGAGTGTGGAATACATAGGAATATTTATAGATTTTGTGTCAATAGCTGTGATGTTATTTGTTTGATATACGGCCGAAAATATACAGAACACAGAGACGTTGCAGTTCGATTGTTTTTTACAAATTTGTTGACAGCATTTTGCAGTTTGCCAGTTGTAAGGTGAAAGGTATATGTTGGTCTCCTTATAGAATGCATTTCCTCTCTTTGAGAAAACGTAAATTGTAGAGAGAAATTTCTGAATGGAGCAAAACTGATTCTCTAAGGCTCATAATCCGCCATGTAAAATTTAAACTCAGACAATTTGTTGTGCTGGAATAAAAAGTCTTAGCTTTCCTTCTAAAATATTTCATCAAAGTAGCAATTAGCTTCTATCGATGAATATCAATAGCTCTGTGTTGCTGTATGAAAAATTGTCTACACCCTATCGGCGCGTTTTACAACAAATCTCGTGGTTATTCAAACAGAGACTTACATTGTCTTAATCCATTTCTGAGAAAACAGTGGCTTAAAAGCATTGATCTATCTGCAAATTGATTTTTTGGACGTCGAAACAACTTTTTGCCATATATTTCTTTCAAGCAAGTTGCGATATTTGCCCTGTGGCGATCCCAGAAATCTTTGCACAAAAAGAAGGATCCGCTCACTGGCAACTCATTCATTCTCTTATTTACTTCAACAGAGCTTCGACGAAAGCGATAATATGACGTAACAATGGGAAAGACGCTGAAAAATGTCGTCGCCAACGCCGCTGTCAGATCAAATGAACTCTTTCTAAATATTTACAGATTATGGTCGCAGAGACAACGGAAGCATTAAAAACATTTTTAGCTTTCAATGAAGCCACCAAATTTTCAGTTTTCTTTTCAGTGCTCTATGTGAGAATAGCTAGTGTGACATGTCTTAGTTGATCTAGTGACATGCCTTTAACCCGGGCGGAGAGAGGTTCGGAACCTCAGTCCGCCCTGCTTTGAACGTTCCACGATTGCCCTCGCAATGGACGGAAACAGGAATTAATGCACTTGCGTTAGCGAGAGCAACAACCGAATAAACTCTTTAGGCCTTGCCGGTAGTTACCGCTGAATATAAAACAGATACATGGGTTGATGGCGCAATTCGCGTGGGCCATGAAAATGGCAAAGAAAGCAAAATGCTGTTTGCCGCAGCTTAGCTGAGGAGGTTTGTGCCATACAAAAAAGTTCAAAAACGCAAAAATGTTGAATGGGGCCCAGCACAATGCACAATGCACAATGCACAATGCACAATGCAAATCCCATGATGATGGCCAGGACCATCTGAAGTACACTTCTATCCCTCTTCAGTCGTTTTTCAAGTTCTTTTGCGCCCACTGATTCCCCTCCTGGTATCTTTTGAGCTCTGAGCTTCAGGATGATGATGGAATAAAGTATCGACAGCAACGCGAACGGAATCACCGCCAATATTAGAAACATTGTTACGTAGTAGCTCGCTACAGAAGTTGATTCTCCGAAGGCTTCCTCCCACTTCAGAACACACTGAAGTTGTCCTTTCGAGTTGCTGAGCTTGCGGGCAAAGAAATATGGGGAATGGAGAGCCGAGGCAACAATCCACGTCGACATTATGAAATACGGGCGAAGCTTGGAGCAGACAATTGGGGGACGGAGTGGAAACACTACCGCTCCAAATCTATCCACTGCTATCAAGACCAATGACTGTATAGATACAGCGTTGGAGACGTCTGTCATGAAGTACACCAGTTTACAAAGTGCCGAACCAAAAGGCCCATCTATGAACCAGTAACCGAAGTAAAATCTTTCGATAATCCGCGGGACGACAAATATTGGAAGAACCAGGTCAGATATAGCCATGTTGACGATGAGGTAGTTGATGGTTTTCCTCATGGAGTTCACTTTGAACACGACTGATCCAATAAGAATATTTCCAGTGAGAGATACAACGATTATTACACAGTATGCCAAGGTTTTAGCCACCCTTTCTGCTGTGGAATAGTCTGAGCAATAAATGGACGATGTCGCAGTACTGTTAGTTGTGGCGTTATTGCTCATCCTGACTGGTAGAGGTTGTCGTTTGAGCAATGGCTGACCAAAAAATTTTGTCTTTTAGCTTTTAGTGGCACACAGCTTCCATTTGAGTTATTTCGCCGTCTTCTTTTCTGCAACTTTCAATTATCACAAGCCACCAATTATCGACAGGCTGTCGTATCATTAAGAGGCTGTTTTTATATTTTTATGAAAAGAAAAATCCATTAGCGTCTACATATCTATCTTTCGTTTTCATATGTTTTTCTGTCGGTTGGTAGATTTCGTATTACCACCGCTTTAAGATAAAATGTTGTCTTCATACAAAGAAAAAACCTCTTTGAATGCATACTGTTGCTAATAAAATTACCAGTTTGTTTATAATGTTTCATCTATTTGTATTTAGCAAGTTCGCATTCAATTCGCTCCTGACACGAATTATTTCTAAACACATGTATTAAGATAAAAAATGGTTTCTGTTTCTTTTTCAGGTCATTGGCTTTCCTTCCTTACGCTTAAAAATTATCTCCATTGAACTTTTTCCTCCTAAAATAATGCTTGAAAGTTATCATCTTTCTTATTCTATTTCATTGAACAGAATACCTTTTGTTCTTGTGACATTAACTTGCGAAAGTGACAGTGTTAATAGTAAGGAAAACTACATCATCATAAAGTAGATATGAAAAAAGATGATTCATAGAGAGATAAATTTTTCATGTAGTGTTCATGTTTTCTACTAACTAAGCTGATCTGCAAATTAGTATACTCTTTCAATTGGTCACAAATTAACTTATGCCATCATAAGTTGTATTTTTTCATACAAGCCAATCAAGTGGTGACAAATAAAATAATTAGTTTACTAGAGTCATTGGACTGTTTTAACCGATAGCTGCCATTAATGGAAAAACATGTACAATAACTTAGAATCGCAATCAATGGATGATGATCCTCAGAAAAATTTATTTTTACACAGCACATCATCAACAATTTAACGACTGAACGATACAAGGATAAAGCATGTTTCAGTGATCCGAACGATACCAGAGCAAAAAAAACCTAGTCAACACCTTTCTCAATTGACCTCTCTTAAATCGACTCTTTCTTAGTAAATTGAAGAGTCGCTAAACATGAAACTTCGTTCCGTGATGACAAGATCACGAGTATTTTTCATAAAACTATGTATTTCAGAATCCAGTCACCATTTCCCTTAATTAAATGTTGATTATTTCAACTTCGAAGTAAGTCAGTAAACCGACAAGAACATTGTACATGTGGGCTTGCAATAATCTGTAATAGCAGAGAGTTTCAACTAAAAAGGATGTTTATCCCTATAACTTACGGGCAAATTGGTTTAATTGTGCCGCCCTTGGTTAAAACCGAAATAGAAAATTTAATGGACAATTGGTCTTCATTAAAAACAAGAGGAATGGAGAAAAATTTTGTACCTATTGATTCTTAAGTGTTTAGCGTGCTTATGAGGAAACGGGGAAAGAAATGCGCAGTAACTGTTTCTGAAACCATCTTTTCCCGAAAACAAGCTCCGATGAAAGTACACTATCTAAATAACTATTTTCAAATAAAAAAAAATATATATGGGCATATCAAGTTTTTTATTCGGAAATCAAGATAAAATACAAAACTTGCTGAATCTTTACGCATTTGTTCAAACACGCTTGAGGATCACTTGTTACTTGGAAGTTGTAAATAAGAAGCAAGACGAAAAAAAACCGAGAAATATTTCGAGAAAAAAGCTTCATTATAACATAACCAAAGTAAAGCACGCGCTCTGATTGGTCAGTTCAGTGTCCACCATTTGCCCATGGGTGTATGCTCTTGATGTGAGCAAATGCAATGACTAGTTTCCGCACGCCTGTTTTTTCTGCTCACGCGAGACTTCAGTTTTAAATAGGAAGAAACTTTTTTCGCCACAATGTATCAATGTTATGTTATAAAAGAAATGGTAAACACCATCATGGATGCACTTGGGAGGTTTGCTAAATATTCAAGAAGCTAGAGTCGCTCCCGGCCAGAAAATTGCGTGCCGTTAAGTTGAAAATTCTGAAAGTTTTACGTTTTGACCTAGAATATTCAATTAAACAACACCTAACGGACATATTAAAGTTTAAACATAGTATTTACCGGGCCTTGGTAACATAAAATTGTTGCTAGGCCTCTCTTGAAGTAATAAAGTACGGTTTTCACGCATTGCTTCGGAGAATCGGAATGTCGTTGACTCGAGAGCTTATTCTGTTGCTTCTAAGACTTGATATTCATTATTTTCCGAACAGAGTATTCGATAGTATGTGCACTTTTCATTTTGAGCCCCAGAAGGTCCAGCGCGGTCGGACAGGAATAGAAAATCCGACTTGAAATTTTCGAAAGTCGGCCGCGCGCGCGCGGACTTTAGATTGATTTTTTGTTGTGATTGTAATTGTACTGCTCAGCATGAGGAGGAAGGGGGAAAGCCTCTCTCACGCGAGACAAATGAATCACGCTACGTAGGTGTCAATGTGTTTACTTACAGGGGAGGTGTTAGGAAAGCTAAATGAATAAATGAAAAAATGATAAAAATTGCAGCACTAACGGGCTGAAGAAAACTGTTTGATACTGTAAATAGAGCAAGAGTCCCCGATCGCATACCGTTTCTTGGTCGACGCAGGCCATCATGACATATGTTAGCTGTCTGTAAAGCGAAGGTTTGACTGACGCATGTAACAGTTTTAAAATTTGCGGCAATTGTAAATAATTTTACAAATGAAAGGCTTTCAACAATGGGTTGATCAGTTCGACAGGTGTATTGTTATTCATGGCTGAACTGTAATTAATGGCTCGCTCGCTCAAAACGTGCCCTTTTTTTTCAATCATTTTTCAATCGAAAAACGCTCTAACCAAATGTTTGATAATTTAGCCCAATTTTTTTCGTTATGACGCATGCGTTGTTGTTGATATAGAAACGGTAATTTTTTTTTAGGCGTAAATCGATGGTTTGGACGATTAAACTGAGCAGATGTTTTTTACTTACTAACCCCAGTACAGCACAATGATATCGTGTTATGTGAATCTTTGTTTGCCGTAAGACAGGGCTGCATAAGTAAGTTGTGGAAGAAATTTTTACACGCCTTAAGTATATTCCTACGGTCAATATTTCTTGAGGGGGTTCATTCTGGGAAAATGCCAATAATTTGAAAATAATTTAGGAAAGATTTCAAAAAAACCATTTCACTTTCTGATATAAGGAGGTAAGTGATTCAGAAGATTGACTGTTTATAGGGGAGACTTTATATTTTTAACTCGAATTTTAATCAGTCCACGGTGTCACTCGACTATTTAATATTTAAATTTTGGTGTTTTAATTTCCATCGCGTTTTATGATCACCTAACATAACTGCAATTTGAAAAGACAAAGAGGATCAAATGATCTGAAAGCACAGAAAATATCAAGATTCAAGAGTTAAATTTTGGCAAGCAAACCAACTACCAATCGTATTCATGGTGATCTGCAACTTTAAATTGATTCTTTTTAAATGCCTTTAAAACAGAATGGTTCTAAGCAATGACAGCCACAAATGTTTGGTGTTGTTTACCTGAGGTTAAAAGGACAACCCTCGGTTGATGGATAATTTAATCTTCTCTTAAATAAGGTGACAGTATGATAAAAGAACCATTTTAATCCAGTTGGAAAAAGAGTTCTAGATGCGTTCACTAAAGTTCATTTTAGAGATCAAATTTGCAAGAGGATGTTTACAAACTTCCCCCATCTTCTCGAACCATCTTTCAAGTTTTTAATTACCAGTCAACGAGACAGCTGAAAAAAGAAAAAAGAAAAAAACAACAACAGAAAGAAAAAGAAAACCATGGCGAGCTATTTATTCAGAATAGACAGATAATCAACTTGTTTGCTCCACCTGTGTCATTAGGTCACTTTTGAAATACTGTACCAGAACTTCTCATGCGAACATTAACATATTTCATTATTCTGCCTCAACAATCATGCAAGGCTATTTCAATAAAAGCTTTTAGTATTATCTTTGCCTTGATCAGTAGTATAAGTTTGTGAACCTCCACACTTCAAAGTCATTCTTTTGCAATTACCAGAAGGCTCATTGATAAAGAAAATTTCCTTCTCAAAACCACTTGGATCGATTTTGGCTTGGCCTTCTCTGCGATTACCAATTACGCTAGCGAAAAATGTCTTCTACATATGCGAACGATTCAGATCGCTTTTCTGTAAAAGTTTGGCCAGAGCCTTTACCAGAATGGACCCACGCAATTGAAGAATGGAATTGGATGTGGTTTGCCCACATCTATGGCTTTGCCAGCCTTTTCACTCTCCTCACGTTATACGCTTTCTGTTCTCTTTTCCGGTTTCGAAGAATGGCTGGTGCGAAACAGAAGGTCCACTTGTTGTTCGTGAGCTGTGCAGTGATCACTGCGGGACTCGGGCGGGCTCTTGTTCTTTTTTGGGATCCTTACACTTCGAAGAAATCTTCGTCTGCGATTCAAAATTTAGCTGTTTTCATTTCTTGGGGGATTGGAACAGCTTGTATCACCTCAGCGTTCAGTATAATTCTTTTAATCTTCTTAGAAACAACCAAAATCACTTTGGGACCACCGAAGCTTCAAAACCTGCCCCTCTTGGTTTCGATCACGCTTGCGAACATCGTTTACGTGTCCGTGTCTGATGTTGTGGTTTGGTTTTATTCAAAAGCTAAAGTCATGATTTTTATCTGCCACATTACTTTCGTCATCTGGGGTCTCGCTCTTTCTGTTGGTTATTTTATTGCGGGCTTTCGGATGTGGCAAAATTTAAATTCGACATTGCAAGCTCGGAACTTCACCGATCGGGATATCGGAAAACTGAAGCGTTTGTTTTTCTTCATGAGTGCAGCCTCTGTTTTTGGTTTGGGTAACTTCTCCATTTCCTTGTACGTAAGCGTTGGAGAGCTTGGTGTTTTCGCAAGCGACAGGTTTGCTAAAAGTTGGCCGTGGTTTTCCATGCAAACAATTTTGAGAACAATGGAAATCATTCTCTGCGGTTTGATCTTTCAAATCGCCGCCGACAACCGAAAAAACTACCAACAGGAATCTCCCAGGCGGTCCAATTTCACCTGCAGAGGGAACTCGATTGAGCCGGCGACTAAGTTAAACAGCATCGCTTAGCACAAAGTTAAAAGAATCTCTAAGAGGAGTCAAAATCGCACTCAAACTCCGCAAAGATTAATCATTAAACTTCCACGAAAAAGTTGTGCTTTTGAAGTTTGAAAAAACCTCACTTGATTTTCGATTACTAGATGCCGGATGTACGTGTACGTGGATAAATATTGTGAAAGTACAGGTGCATAAAGACGTATAATTTACTTACCGCACGTTTAACAAGGATCACGTTTTTCTTGTGACGGTTTCAAAAGTTAGCAGAATTTTTCTTCAAGCTAAATGGTAGCTAATAGTTGTGAACGGAAATCCTCTTTGAAAGATTTCCGTGTAGGAATAGCAAGGGCCTATCAATTTTTTTAAATCTATCCCAGTCCGGAAATTAGATGTCTATTGTGGGATCTGTCAAGGGAAAAAATAGATCCTGGTGGGCTTCGACTGATTGTTTCAGGAGGTTCCTGACAGAACTAAGAAATCTAAATGCTTGTTCAACCACAATTACTTTTTTTATTATTATCACTCAAGAGTACAGCAACATTCACACAGGGCTTTCAAGTAAATTTTCCTAAAATTTGAAATCCTTGTCTCATTGTCCATCAGCAAAGTGATGATTAAAAAAACAGACTCCTTTGAGCAGGAGATAATTTCATTGAGTCCCGCTGGGGGAAGAAGATAGTATGTGACGCGCAAATTGAAGCTCTGATCAGGGTAAGTATTTTTGAGAAAGCAGACCGTATATTGTTTCAATTCTTTGGTTATTCACAAAACTCCAACCGTGTCTCTCTTATCTCACTGAATTAGTAGTTTTAATCAAAGTCACACTGTGGCGAGCCTGTGGATATACTGTGCGGAAGATAATTAGACTATACAGTCGTTGCAGTAAAAGTCAATGAACCTGTGATCGCACAGAAGAAACAGAATTTTGGCGTCATCCCCATGAGTCCTTTTCCATAACGATTCATTTCCAATCCCCTCATTGCTCTTTTCTGTGCTTCGCCTATCCACAAGTGAATGAGGTTTGTAGTAAACATGATGTGAACCTGTTATGGTGTTAAAAAGAATTAACTCAGTTAGGTGTTAATGAAGCAGGGTTTCTTGAGCCGAGTTACGTAATTCCCAGATCGGATTTAAGAGGTGTATGAAGCATGCTTTCCTGTTTTAAATATTAATTTTTTGTAGATTTTAATTTCGAGTGACATTAAAGTTTCTTTCGGTTGGCCGTTTTAATCCAGGAGTGAGTTTCTTTGCGCACGGACAGAAGAGAACCCACATGAGCAGTTCAGTCCCTGAAGTGTCGAGTTCTTTTTTCTTTGTCGCACGCTCGCGATATCATCCTTTATTTCATATCCATGCTAAAAAGATATATTTGATTATTTTTACTTACACATGTTACGCAACGCTTCAAGGCACTCTTGTGGAAGAGTATCACGTATGACCCTAGTGACTGTCTGGTTCACAGTAAAGACTCTGTAGCTCAGTGGCAGAGCATAGAAGAACGGAATACGGAGATCGATGTAAGGTTCAGTTAATTCCTCATAAAAACCTGACTCAGATCTTAAGTTATCCCACGCCAGACGCAAAACATCTTTCTTCCTCTCAGTAGCGAATTAAAAAGAAAAAAAAAAATTCCCCCTTCAGCTATGTTGTTTCTTTTCGTTCCGAAACGTACTAGATCATCGCGGATCATCGATTCCTTATAAAAGCTGAGATACTTAATTATTCTGCCCAAGATGCGAAACAGCATTCTTCCTCTGAGTAGCGAATCAAAAAAAAACTTTTTTTTCCAATGCTATTTTGTCTCTGTTCCTTCCGAAACGCACCAGTCATTGTGGAAATAAGACCTGTAACGAGGAGATTGTAGGATTCTGACGCTTGAAGAAATAGGAAATAGTTGTGTTTACGAATTTCCAAGTTGGATTCGTAAACAATTCGTTTGAAATTATAGCCAAACATTGCTATGATACTTTTGAAAAAAATTTTTTTAAGTAGTAATAAGTTTCGTCTTTCTTGACGCACAGTAACTTCAGTTTTAAGAGCGTAATAAATCCAAACTGTCCTGACTGTTTTCGTTAGAAGTTTTGCCTTGCTTGCCACTTTCTTCCATTCCTGTCGTGATTATGTTAATTAAATATCTTAAAACACGGGGAGTAACGTGTTTTTTAGCTCGAATCAGCGACCTAAATAAGCTTTCACCCACCCGCTACAGTTCCTACGCTTTTCAAACCTCAAGGAGGGAAATTTCACGGGTCTTTGCGATTGCTCTATATTTTTTTGGTTTTCTTGCGAAATAAGAGATAGTAATACATTAAAACTTTCTCAAAAGCGGAGAATGTTTGGCAACAGTTGTTTGGTGTTGTCACGCAACACTCGACGCTGCTTTAGTGTCACGAAAGACAATTGCTGTCACTGTTTACATTTAGCATGCTCCAGTAACTGCTGGTCCTTTCAAGACTTTTCTTTTACCAAAGTAAAAGTACTATTTTCACGAAATTGTCATCAAGAAAGAACATTTTTGTGCGCAAAAGGCCTCGTTCAATATCAAGCTTGTTCATGATTTCGTAATCTATTCTTATTCGGTAGTCACATTGGCAAACATGAGATCTTTCTCCAGTTTAACAACTTCGATTTATCTGGGTACTTTATGGGAGCTGTAGAGAGCAGTACCGAGGAAAACAGCGTCATACGATTTGTCGACTCTGTGGAAATCAGGTACGGAGAAGATACTTCAATTGTCACACAGGAAAATGGTTGGAACGAACATGTCTCTGGGGAAGGTGAGTTCGTGGTCACTGAGTGTTGTGGCAAATTGACCGAGTGTTCGCTCGCTCTCACGTGTTTTATATCGTGTTGCTCAGCTGATTCCTCAGTGATCAGCTGTTTTATTCGTTTATGGCATTGAAGCTACGTAAGAAAACATCATTTATCGACTCTCTCGGACGAAATGAGCGCTTATTTTGGTAAAGTAGTCTATCATTTCATTAAATTTACAAAGTATTTCGTAATAATTTAAAACATTGTTATGGCACGTATAGCTTACCAGCTTAGGCTTGTTCATTTTAATGAACTTACCGATACGTCATTTCTAGTTAAATTAAAACGTCTTGTTTAAAAACGAAGCGGTATTTTGTTTTCTTCAATTGCGTCACACCGCTTTCATGTGGGTGTTACGAAAACGAAGACCCTCGAAAACGAAGACTTGAGACCTAAGACCCGGTCTTCGTTTTCGTAGTACGAAAACGGATACCCTAGGTCTTCGTTTTCGTAGAAGTCCCCAGGTCTTCGTTTTCGTAATACAAACACGAAGACCCTGTAAACAGAAAACCGTAGAAATTACAAGTTAAACGCACATTAAACAGTAACAACGCTTAGTAATATAATACGTTACACTTCACGCGTTTCTTCCATTACTATACTGCCCGTATTATTGTACTACCCGTATTATTATACAGCCCGTCTTGTCAGTGTTCTGTTTCGCTATGTGAGCCAATTTGGTGTTGATATTCTCGAGGGTTTCCTCGGGTAAACTTACCACACTTATTATTATTCTGGAACAGCAGGCAGAATTCCAACGCCAGCCGCCTTTGATTTATAGTTAGCCTTGCGTGACAGAATAACAGAGAACGCGTTCTGTACGGGAAAAATGACTCTTGGGTTCTGTCAATAAATAATCGATTTCTACTATATTTCGTAGCTAAAATAGATTCTGACGGTCGTTAAGCTTTCTCTGCTGGAATATTCTCGTTAAAAAGTAAGCAATTCTTTAGGCTAATGCAGGGTCTTCGTTTTCGTAGTACGAAAACGAAGACCCAGTAAACAGAAAACCGTAGAAATTGCAACTTAAACACACATTTTAATGTGTGTTTAAAAACAGCAACAACGCTTAGTAATATAATACATTACACTTCACGCGTTTCTTGCCATTATTATATTACCCGTATTATTATATGGCCCGTCTTGTCTGTTCTGTTTCGCTATGCGAGCCAGTTTGGTGTTGATATTCTCGAGGGTTTCCTCGGGTAAACGTACAACACATTATTATTCTGGAACAGCAGGCAGAATTCGAACCTAGCCACCTTTGATTTATAGTCAGCATTGCGTGACAGAATAACAGAGAACGCGTTCTGTACAGGAAAGATGACTCTTGGGTTCTGTCGATAAATAATCAATTTCTACTGTATTTCATAGCTAAAATAGATTCTGACGGTCGTTCAGCTTTCTCTGCTGGAAAATTCTCGTTAAAAAGTAAGCAATTCTTTAGGCTAATGCTGGGTCTTCGTTTTCGTACTACGAAAACGAAGACCCCCTGTCTTCGTTTTCGTCCTACGAAAACGAATACCGGGTCTTAGGTCTTAGGTCTTCGTTTTCGAGGGTCTTTGTTTTCGTAACACCCCTTTCGTGTTGTTCCTTTGTCAGGTTACACGGAGAATGCCAAACACGTCACGATTTTTCCTGTTGTGCTGGTAACAAAAAAATGTAAATGTAGGAAAATTATTTGTCTTATCATGCTTATCTCTGTGTACTTCGGGTTTTGTTTTGGACACAGATTGGATATCACACGTTCCCAAGGTTGACGATTCTCATGGGATTGCCACAGTTGCTCCCGCAGACTCCATGCTGTGCGAGGGATCCTATGAAGACTATGAAATTATTGGCGACACCGCTGTACAAAGTTAGACATGTTAACGTAACGTTATTCGTGTAAGTCCATCGTGCAAGGAGAAAAAAAAATTATTTAAGCGAGCAGCACAGAACCCTAGGAGTGAGGTGCACGATGAGCTGTTTTGGTCACTGATTTTTTTTTTTTTCTGACTTGCGCGATAGACTTCGCCGAATAGGGGGGACTTCTCCTAACTTGAACACTTCACTGTGCAGAATATCGCATTAAAACTACGGTATATGCATGGATGAAACAGAGTTTATGCCTTCGGTTAGGGTGTATGCCCGTATCCCTTATCACGACTTACATGCCTTTTTCATACCGGTTTTAGGCTTGCTTCTGAATGGGCCCTCCCTTATTCCTGAACTTGTCGAAATTGATTTGTACTGACAATTTTCTTCCTTTTCGAGTAGGTGGTGGTGGTGGTGGTGGGGAGGGGGGAGGGGGGTGTATAGCTAACCTTTTCCATCGAGATTTCAAACACGACTTTAAACCACGCTAACTGCATGTCGCGATTTGTCATTAGGGCTGATATTATATATGGCTAAACATATGGTGTGGCAAAGTTATGCATTATTTTCCTTTATACTTAATTTTCATACCCGAATGTTCAAAATTTCAGGGTGACTCTTTTCAGATAAAGGTGACGAAAATAACAAGGGAAAGTGACGACTTTCTTCTTAACCTTCCCTGATAAAACGTATACCAGGTGTTTTCATACAAGTTTCCTTTTTCTTTGTCAGCATTGCCTGACAAAGACTTCTGTTACACTTGATCTTTTCTCTGCAGCAATCGAACAAGAAGAATTCGGAATAGTAGGAACCACCACGTCAGATCTTAACTTCGAAGAAGATCATTCACCTGGACTGAAATACAACAGAAGCTCAAGAAGGACGTCGTGTAAAAAGAAACCGATCGAAGCTCTGAGTAAGTCAGGTGATGTAGTGAGTAGATCTTTATCGAGCGGGTTTAGAGGAGGCGGAAGCGCGGTGCCGTGCCTTCTGTTTTCTTCTGCCTTTTCAAATTTGTGTTTAATATTATCACCATTATTCTATTTTCCTGGGTTGGGGGAGGAGGAACGGCTTTTTAGGCTATGTTAATGTGTTAGTTATAGTTGCGCTCTTACAACGATATTTCAGCTCCAACCACAGGCGACTCAAGCGTACTGTGTGTGATTTTTGGGTCCAAAGCTCATTGACGGGAATACATAATTTATTAGGATTGAATTTAAGCGAAAGGGTGTGACGTGAAAAAAGAAAAAGAAAAAAAAAAAAGAAAAAATTATAGGAAAAAGTAAAAGAAAGGATAATAAAAGTGAGAAATATAGCGTGTTCAGTCTCCTTTACTTTATTCCGTAGCCGCTTTGTCGCTCCCGGTCGTTTTAACGCTATTTTGTGGATTTACTCTAAGCGTGCAGTACTTCTATGCGCTTCGCGCGCTGCGAGATCCGCTCGAAATGTAACGATACCTGTCATCAGGTCCCTGTCGCCAACGAAGTCTTGTTCAGCGGTATGGCACAAGATTGGAACCCAGCCTCCAATGAGGAAGTAAACGAAGTTTTCGGTTTCCTAATCGCTGCTACCACGCGAAAACTATTATTCTACTTAGGAGAGTTATTGTTAGTTCGTTACTCGTCTTAGGATGTTTTCATCCCCTCTCGATGATGACGAAGGAGATTTCATGTCCCCGACTCGTGGAGGGTGAGCAGTTGATGTCATTTTGTAATCTGTCTTTTGCCATTTTTTATGTTATCGTAGAGGTCCAAGATGGCGGAAAATTGAGGTCGCGTGACTGTGTTCTTCTTTCGCATAGCTCCTCTAAGCTTGCGTCGTTATTTGGCCAGGATAAAGCGTCATTTTTAGGAGGGAATGAATCCTTGACGTACACTGCTCCTAAACAGCCAAAGAAAGAAAAACCAGGTGACCGTTTACTTAATCAGGATTTTACGTGTGGTGTAAGGCTACAATCAAATCAACCTTCCCCTGATCTCAGTATGCAAAATGCGTGTTCATAGTTCGCGCTGAACCTAACAATTCAAGTGGATCTTTTTAAAATAGTTTCAAGGAATGAAACACTCGAGAAGTTTTATTTTGGCTCAAGTGACAACCGATCGATCACGATCAGCAATGACAGTTTTTTTCCTACTCCTCCCCCTTCTCCAAGTATCCCCCTTTCGGACTTTTTTTGTTCATTCGAATATCTGTCATGACAGTCAAGGTAAAATAACTTTATTTTATCAGTGACCTGTCAATACTTTCTCAATTAAACAGATATTGAGAGCCGAGAAGTAGTAACCTGTTTTTTTCTTTCCTTTTTTTGCACTTCATTACTGTATCAGCTGATTCTATTGTCATTGTTAATAGAATTGTCAATTAAGTTTGTGGCTGAGAGGGTTAGCCTACAGAGATGATGTCAGTTTTGTCATTACAATTCAGCGGTAAATGATTTGGAATGCATATAGAAGTTTTTTGTTGGCTGAGAGGGTTAGCCTACAGAGATCTGAAATCTCCAAAGATCTGATTTCATTGTAACTTAGTTACAGGAAGTTGGTTTTAGATTGACACAACTTCTGCATGATAACTTTGAGTATTCTCATAGCCAGTTTGTGAGATAATGTATGGATTTTAAAGGGAGAAGTTACATAGTAGTCACTTCTTGGAGTTGAAAGGTTAAATCATCCTTAAGGTGTGTGTAAAATACAAGTCTAAAAATAGGAAAAATGCAATGTCAGTGTTCCATATTTTGATTATGGTTTGGGTCTCTTAAAAAATTCTTGCTTTTCTTTCTCCTAGTAGTATTCTTGTTACAATTTTGTTGAGCTTATAACAGCCTGTTTCAGGTACACTGTATCTGATTAATGAATGGCAATATATATCCGAGATAATTTTCTGATGCAGTTGTCATTAATACAATTGTTTATTGCTAGCTGGAGCATCACAAACCAGTAGTGGAGAAACAACACTCTTGTTTGCTACAGCAGTCCATGCATATAAATAGTAAGTTGTTCTTCACTGTGTCATGTCTATAAATCCCTGTTTATTTTGTTCTTGTGCAAGACTTCAAAATACTGATCTGTCATATCACATTTTAGTGTCAATGGCCAATATGCTAGTCAGGGAAAACTGGGTGCTGCAGTGTTAGCCAATCATCCTGCAAATGATGTAAGTTATCCATGTTAACCTTATAACTTCCATGAGTGACATAGCTAACAGAATTTCACCTTATAATATCAATAGAATGGGGGCTCGAAATTAAAAGAAAATTTCATTCGCCATTTTGCGACTTGATACGTAAATATAGTCGCAAGTTCACGGATTTTATTCACAAAAATAATTAACCATGCAAGGGTCAGCTCTAATCCAGCGGTTTAACAAACAAAAATATGAGCCTGCAATACATATGAAGAGACCGCTGCGATGGTGGCCGATCAAGGTAATGTTGTTGCGTGCACAACATTGCGGATAAATTAGGTACAGTTTTACCCTATATCTTCAAATGTCTATGATAATCAAGGCACAGGACTATAATATTTTTTCATTTCTTTATTTATTTCGGCCAAAATAGTGGCAAAGTAGCGACTGCTGGCTTTTTTATTCTACTCGCAAATTTGCGACTCCTCTGGAAGTGTTAGTCGCAAACATAAGAATTAAGTTGCAAAGGCAACTGTATTGGTTGCAATTTCGAGCCCTGAGAATGTTATCAAGCAGATTAGTGATGAGAATAAAGAAAATAGTCAACAAGGGGATTGTTAGCTATTCCAATACCAAATAAAGAAAATAGTCAACAAGGGGATTGTTAGCTATTCCAATACCAAATAAAGAAAATAGTCAACAAGGGGATTGTTAGCTATTCCAATACCAAATAAAGAAAATAGTCAACAAGGGGATTGTTAGCTATTCCAATACCAAATAAAGAAAATAGTCAACAAGGGGATTGTTAGCTATTCCAATACCAAATAAAGAAAATAGTCAACAAGGGGATTGTTAGCTATTCCAATACCAAATTCTCAGAACTGGCATGATAGCAATTGTTTGGCAGACAGTAGAGAGATATGCTCTTGAAACTTTTGGAGTGAAAGGGTGAAGTCCGCATTCTGCCATGATTTTGTTCGTTTCTCATTTTGGTTGAATCTGCATTTCGTAAACATTGCTTTTGCTTGATTAAATGTCTATAGCTTTAAATAGACCTGGGAAACTTGTAATAAGTGACTTACCGGTAATATGTTTCTGTTTGCCCCAGAGAGTTTTGTGTGTAGTGCGAACCTGGAAAGATTGGGCAGTTATTAGTTAATTATAAACTTTCATATAGAAAGATTTTACTTATTGTGTACAAGCACAATTTGAACATACGGTAGCTGCTTTGAGCTGACAGAATAAGATTTTAAAAGTACATCTTCAAGATGTAATAATAAAATTGTGATTTATTTAAACATAAATTTCAAATTTCCAGTCCAGTAAGCCATTTGCTTAAGACTAGTCTTGTAGCTAAAGCCACCATTATAATGAGTTTCGCACCATTTAACACATACTTAAAACCCTAATATCAGTATGCATTTTCTCCATACTCATGCAGGGCTTGACAGTAACTTTTCAACTTACTAGCCATTAGTGGCTTCTGACAACTTAGATGTTACAACGATTTCAGTTTGTTTACTAGCAAAACTGGCTGGTGGAAATCGAAAACCACCAGCCAAAACTGAATTTCTACTAGTCTGTGGCTTGTTGGCTACCATTAGTGATGAGCCCTGATACTGGAGAATTTATCTAACAATCAAGAGCTTCTCTAGTTGGCGATCATTTCCTTTATTCTAGTGACCTTTATGTTTGATTCAGAGGTGATATTGTAGAAGAAGTGAGATGTTATTTTACAATTAATGTAGGACTTGGCCTTGTGTACTTGTAATATTTGTTTAGAGAAGTTAATAAGGTACAGGTTTAGCAGCTGTACATATTTTACTCAGACTGCAGTGATGAAAAAGGCAAACAGAAATTCTGATACTTATTTATCTTATTCATTTATAGTACCGGATTCTCATTTATGCATCCAAACAACAGCAAGTTACCACAGCAAAAATCCATGGAAATTTTTCATTTACGGTAAATACAAAATGGTATTACATCATTTGACATGTTACTGCTGAAGTTAAATTGCAAGTGATAAATGGTTTAGCATTCATATTTTACGTCCTCAGACCTTACTTTTAACAATATTGTTTAGGTTCAAGGGAGTAATTATGCAAGTTTTTATGATGACCAGAGGCAGACATGGTCAATTTGTTTTGAATCAGACAAGAATATCACAGATTTTGCCAAACAGGTAACAAGTTAACAGAGACCTTAAGTATTAATTAGTTGGTGACAGTCAGTCGTCTTGCGCTGATCATCAGCTGTCTTAAAGTCATGGATACATTTTGTCAGATTTTTGTGAAAATAAGGTCATGAGTGTTTGATAAGATATTTTACTTGTTAAAGAAGCAGAAAAAGGTAAAGTTAGGTGTAAAGAAGTAAAGTTTTCCAAGATATGTGCTGAAGGTTGCATTTGGGAGATGCATGCATATAACTATTGGCCAACTGGATTGTGAAAGACACAGAACTTTTAAAGTTTGTTTTGAAAGAAAATATAGTTTTGTTATAGGTCTGTTTTGTTAACATTGTATCGGGAGAGAAGTGTGGATTACTAGTAAAGAGAACAAAGAGCAAATTATTTTTTGAATGGAACAGCCAAGAAATTACTGCAACCTTTTGAAATTAATGGAAAAGGAATAAAATAATTTATTTTGTTGCACTTGATTTTCAGGTTGGGTTATTGAAATTCAATTCTGCTTCATCAAATCTTTGCACACAAGATCTCTCCCCTGGTGATGGACTTGTAAGCATAATCTTTATAAAATTTCTTTTTCATTAAGGCAGCTGAATGACAGCTTCGGTGGTCATTAACCGCCTCCCAGTTAGCTCAATGGATAGAGTGCTGGACTATTGTGCGGGAGGTCGAGGGTTCGAGCCCCGGCCGGACCAACACTCAAGGTCTTAAAATAATTGAGAAGAATTTGCTACCTTTCTATAACATCAAGAAATGGTTAGACATTCAAGTCTTCTTGGACAGGGATGAATAAATGGAGGTCCCGTCTCCTGCAGGGTTGGGGT